CGTCTACCCGCCACGCGACATTGCACACCCGGCGATAACGCGGGAAGATGCGGGAACGCGTGCCGGAGGCTGCGGGAGAGAGCTTGCTGACTGCGTGGCGACGTCGTCGCTGTCCGCGGAACCACTGCGGACCGATGTAGCTTGCAACCCCTAGGTTTCCGACTCCCGACCAACCCCCCGCATGATCTTCTCGTTCTACTAGCTTGCCGGCTGGCTGGCTGGCTCGGGCTGGCTGACATAAGGGCGCTTCTACTACTTGCCGTTCTCGCGTTCCGAGAGAACTTTTCACGCGCGTTTTATTTAAGGGCGAACGCGCGGAGTGCTCGCTGGGGATTACAACCAGTTTATTGGATGGATATATACAAGATAAAAGTACCAATGCCCGGGCATAAAATCCCACACAGCACGTGATATATATAATATCACAGTAATATTTCAATAATATTTCTGCGATATTACAATATTACGGAAATATTACTGTGATATTATATAATATTGCATGCTGTGTGGGATATATATAAAATGTAAAATATATGTAATATTTTATAGACATAAAATATATATAAAACATAAAAAGTATATATATATATATATATATATATATATATATATATATATATATATATATATTCTAAAAGTTTAAATATTCGGTGCTAAAAGTTTAAATATATTCGTATTTAAAAAGACGAAAATATTAAAAATGTTCAGAATTAAATACGTATCCAGAAATTAGTACTTTTATCTTACACACCTCGTCTGACTTTAAAGAGTTCGCTCTAATTTGAAGAGCCGTTCTCCCGGTGAGAAAAAGAAAACCTAGAAAGAGAATTTGTGCCACGTTATCTTGTTGTGTTTACTTGGGATGCATTGCAAAACATTCTTTTTGAGGAAAATTTTACTGAAAATAGTTTATGTATAACTGTAGTTACATATACTATGGATTTCAGTAGAATTCTCCTCAGAAAGGACGCTTTGGAATGCAACTTTAAAAGGGAAGGAGAAAGGAAATGAAAAGAAAGTATTTAGGTCGACTTACGAAAGAGACAGAAATATTACCCAGAATCGTTGAAGGTAATATAATGTTCACGAATATAACATGGTGGGATGATGAACAATAACAGTCACTTGCCGAGAATGCTTATGTTATTATTAAGTTAACGTAAAAATTACTCATGTTCTATTATACGATAAGAGAGAGGAGAAGTAAGTATAACTCTCTTAGACTTAGTTTACATCAACCAAGTGATAAGCTAACTAGCAGTTAAAACAAAGTGTCTGCCTTAGTTTATTTTTAAAGAGAAACAAAGGCAGACGTATGATTTAACTGTTGCCTTATCATTCGATCAGTGCAATCGAGCCGAATACCCACGATTAAGGATACGCGTTTGATCATAATGTATATCTTAGAATCGCGTCGTTCGATTTTTATTTATTTCGCTATCCATCGATAAGTCGTAAAAAAATGAAATATTGAACAGATGATTACATTCGACTGAGGTGGGCGTGCATTTTTCAACTGACAATGCGCGCTCAATGCGTGCCGCTGCAAATTATTAAATGAAGCGGTAGTTTATCAATATGAGCCGCGAACCATTCATTTGTCTCTACGTCCTGCGGCGAGGCCGTCGCAATTGCAGGAAATTAATTTAATAGAACGACCGCGCACTCTGACTGTTTGTCAATTGAAATCATTCAACAAGATAACTCTAACATAAAAAACAAACGGCAACAGTTATCGACTAGTTTTGCACTTGCGATATCCATACTCTAATTAAAAATGCCGTAAATTACATTGCAAATTGCACGAAGACACGTCCAAATTGATGGCGAGCGAGGCATTTTGTCCGTCTGATAGAAAAAAAAGAAAAAAAAACGAAGATATACATCTTATCGGACGTCTCATGTTGTGAATCCAAAGTGACGTTGCCTATTCGTGCAGGCTTATTCGTCACAGTGCTTATAGCAAGAAGGTAACATTAACTTTACAGTAGAGTACGTCAGGAATAAAGTTGAGCGCAAACCGCTGACGCGAAATTTGTTTCCCCAAACTCCCTTAGATCAATCTTGTTTGCCGTTTACCGAGTAACGGGAAGCAATAAGCCTCGAGTTTGCCCAGAGGTGTACGTTCGGTTCCGGCATTACTTCCTCAAGTACACCACGTTTACATAGCGGATATACGTGTTTGATATGCGATCCAGTCGCCTTAAACATCCCCGAACACGATGCACACCGTGGAAATCCATACCGACCTGACGCGGCGATACGGCGCTTCATAACAAAATTACCACTTGCAAGGAGCTCGCAATAAAATAAACACTGTGTGTCTACGATTCCCGCAAATATATTTGTTTCCTCCGCAAAAAGGAACAAAAGTTCACCGTATCTAATATATATACTGTATATATAATAATAATGTATATAATAATATATATACATATGTAATATATATAATATAATATATATAATATATATAATATAATATATATAATATATATGTATATATATATATACATATATATACACACATATATACATATGCATATATATATATATATATATATATATATATATATATACACACATATACATATACATATATACACTGCAAATTTGTATTTCCAATTAATACGTCCCTTGCGACATTATCAGTGTTTTCCCAAAGGGAAAACTCATCTCGGACTATGATGAAACGCACGAAGCTCTGTGGCATTTTTAAAACTTATTTAATTACATGTGATTCCCGCGGTGATTCCTGGGGCGGAATTGAAAACTCGAAATTTCGCAGTTCCAATTACGTTATTGGATCGCGGAGAAAGATGTTCGAAGATGTTAACTGAGAGACGTAGAGAAAATTTTGTAAATTCAGAGTGCTAATGGACGAAGCTTAAATTTGATCAATGCTCTCTCCACCCGAGTCTCTCCGCGCGAGTCTCTCCTTAAGAGTTAAATTAAATTACATTGTACGCGTGTATTAGTATTCTTCTTTATTTTTAACGTTTCAGCGGTATTATCGAGAAATTCTTACATCTCGTGCGGCCGCGTTCTTCCGTTTTGAGTTTCACATTTTTTTCTCCCGTAGACCAGCGCGAACTTCTCGGACTTTAAAGATTGTCTTCCTCTTCGCGATAACTCGAAGTCACAAGATCTCCGAAAACGTATCGATCAAACAGAAGTGTTTAAATTCCTAATGGGTCTCTCTCGAGAAGATCCCTCAGGATCTCTTCTTCTTTCGAATTCATGAAAAGATACCGGAGATCCGGAGATGTAAATCTTTACTCGTATAATGCCGCTCGATTTGTCTCTTTTCTTTTATTATTATTGTATATATACATCACGTCCCTCCCCCCTTTCTCTTTCTCACACACTTTCTCTCTCTGACTCTTATATATATTATATACAAGTAAAACACGACGATACATACTCACATACACGCATAGAAGCTCGTGCGATGCTTCATAACAGAACTCGAAGAGAGTGCGAGTCGCAATTATGAACTTTTGTTTACGCAATTACCGAGTCTTGCTTCTCACGGCCGTTTCTAAATTAAGAGGAACGAGACAGGATATCTAGAGCAAGGTAATCAGCAGTTCGCGTAGCATAATATCTCCGCTCCTTTGACGTAATGTGTGCGTTTAGCTCGTATATCTATTACTGCACACATTACGCTTGCTATACTACAGGCGAATTCATCTCCTTTATATTTCCTACTGACGCATTAAATTATTCTACGTGAGAGTTCAACAGAACTCGATGTCGTCGCTCTGTCATAGCATAATCCCGCATTTGAAACGATCCACGTTTAAGTTGCATTGTGCGCAGGATACATTCTTCGATGAATCTTCGAAGTGCGCTCTCTGGACGAGAGATATTTAATCGTAAAGATACTTATTATTGGCGGTGGAGGAATTTTCGTGAACATTCGAGGAATATAAATAAGAGATAAAAAATATACAATCGTATGTTTGAACGTGTATATACAAAGAATCAAATATGTATTTCTAGCTCTAAAGATAAAACCAAATTTTACGAGAGAATAAGAGCTAATGCTGTTCGTGCAATTTTTTTTTTTTTTTTATAATAGCTACGTTTGGCATTGTAAATCGAAGACGTCGGATTGCTCTTTTACCTCGAAGATGCATAGAAATGAAAAAGATACGAGATCTCATATCTCCCTCATTTCTATGCATTTTTGAGGTAAAAGAGCAATTCGACGTCTTCGATTTACAATGCCGAACGCAGCTAATATATATTTATCATACGTTATCGTACGTTTATTGTACGTTTATCGTACGTTAATTAAAACCGAAAAATTATTCGGCACGTGCGTTAACACCCCGCAAAACATTATCCTCCCCATTATATTAAAAAAAAAAATTGCACGAACATCCAGCATTAGCTTTTAATGGCCTTATTCTCTCGTAAAGTTGTGTATATACAAGGTACGACGATAACGGTACAATCGTCGACGTTGTATGGGCCGACGGCTCATACAAAAATAAAAGTCGATAATGTAGAACAATTCTCGAAAACGAGGCATTGTTTACGAGAAAAGCAATTCAGATATATAGATTTAAATATATAGATTATGATAGGAAGTGGAAAACTAGCAATATCTTTTTCGGCGATTATTTTCGATGAGCTATCGTGTGTCATCGAAGTCATTTCGACAACATGGAGGTCACTGATACATAAACAGAGAATGTATCATGTAATACACAGTCTTAAATAATTATTTATATCTTAAATAAATATTTATTAAACGTAAAATTATTTATCTTTGTGTCGAAAAAATCAAATCTTTTTGAACATAACTCCGTCATTGATGTTAGATAGAAATTTGTTTAAATTATATAAATTCAATTTTTCTTCTATTTTTTATTTACAATTGTTTTTGCTTTATAATTTATTTACCGATTTGCTTTTCAATTATACCAAAAAGGCACATGCATATTTCTTTCGTCACTGTAAAATAGTCTGCTTTAATTCGCAAAATGGATAAAATGTTAATTTCTTTTCGTTTTTTTTTTTTTAAATAATGCATAAAGCGGAAAATAATATTTACGTAATATTTTGATGTTATATATTGGAAATAATAATAAAATTACTTCTAAATAATTTTGCATTTGCATGATTTATATGCAGAACGTCAAAAAATATAATGTATCGCACAAACCGCGTGATTAAAAAAAAAATGTCTAGAAAGGAACTTTAATCGGATGATTAAATGCTAATGTTAAAAACATTTCAACATTTATTTTTGTTTCTTACCAAGTAACTTTTTAATTACTGTATGAATCTCAAATATTTCTTTCAACTTCGTATAAAAATTAAATGCTTTTAATTTAATACTCCTGGTTGTTTTAACCCTTTATAGGGCAAGACTCTTTGGATATGACAAATGAATTTTTTCTTTTGAACTTCATTAAAATAGTCCTTAGAGATAATTTAATATCATTTTTGAGATTAAAAAAAATTTTTTTAAGAAATATCAATCGATATAACTATTGTACCAGTGACCATTCAGGGAAAGCGTTTAGAACCACTCCCAATTCTCTCGGCCAATTCTATGTGCTGTTGGTACGACTTATGTACCAATGCCCTATAAAGGGTTAAGAGATAAGGCTTACATAATTAAGTAATAAAATAGTTACATGGGAACAATCTACGAAACTTCAAAGTAACAAAGAAAAAAAAGATATAATTCAACATATCATAAATACTTTCTGATATATTTGTGAATATTAAACGGTAAAACTGCATAAAAGGTAACATCTCATCAATTTTTTTCTTTTTGAAATATGTTATAGAGAAAGAAATTCTGAGTAACTTTTTCCTATACAACTAAGATAAACGTCCCAGTGGTCGAACATACATGTCCCAATGATTGACATATTGGTTTTGTATTTTTCTTTGTTGAAATGCTTTTCAATATACAAAACAATATAATAAATGAAGAGAAATATTTAGTTACTTTGTGATTTTGTTTCATTTATTGATAAGCATCCTAACAAACACAAATATATTATTAGTAATTCAATTATCGGTACACGTTCAATCACTAGGACATTTACCTTATATGACGGTCGCATATAGTTTCAGAGATATTTGACTTTAAAGTTTTGAAAGTGTACATGTTATAAATAGACTTTACTCCATTTTTATATAAGTATACATACATGTATTGAATAAAGTACATGTTTATGCACGGGAGAGGGCCTCCGCCCTCCTCTCCAAAAAAGTAACCTTAACCTAATCAATCTATTGAAATATGGCAAACTATACACATATATACGTAACCCCTAATCTTTATATTTTTATATATAATTTGTCAATGGAAAATAATATAAGAATATAAATCCAGGTACTGCTAGCGATATTTTTTACATATATTGTAAATTGAAAGATCTCAAACAGTACCTACGTTTGTATTCTTATATTGTTTTCCATTGACAAATATATACAAATGTAAAGATTCCCCCGCGCATATACGTATACTGTTTGCTATATTTACCTTATTTTTTAATGTTTAAACTTTAAAATCTAATATCTCCGAAACTATATGCGACCCCTATATAGTTGTATACAAAAAAGTTACTCAGAATTTCATTCTCTATAACATATTTCAAAAAGAAAAAAATCGGTAAGGTGTTACTTTTTATGCAGTTTTACCAATTAAACTAAGAAATAATGTCGGGTTAAGTGTTGAAAGCATTATCACGTTTTACATATCACCGCGATTCATGAATCCTATGAGCAAGATAATAATAAAACATTATCATAAATAAGCCTTTTCGCGTTGTGATAATCACCTTAATAACTAACAGGAAACAATTATTTCTTATGATGTCCATGACACATGGAAAAGTACACTGTGTTACAGTACTAGCTGCATTTTGCATTCCTGAAAATTGCCTCAAACATTATAAGACTTAAGCTGCAACGGTGTATGCAGCACGACATTCATTGTTATCGTATTGTTTGAGACATATGCAGTGGCGTTAGCATCAATTCGAAAGCGGCATCCTTCAGATTCGCGCCGCGTAAATTCGCGTCTTGTAGATCGGAGCCAGATAAGTCACAGCTCTGAAAAATGCAATGCGAAAGCGTATTGATAAAATATATATATATATATATATATATATATATATATATATATATATATATATA